CATCATCATCATCATCATCATCATTATAAACATTAAAAACTATAAAAAACAAAGCTAAGAAAAGGAAATAGTGGGCGAAGGGAGGTTAATAATAAGAGTTATTAGAATACTATTGAGTGATTATTTTTAATTCAGATGATTCAAACTACTTGGTGTAGAAAATATTTTTTAAAAAATAAATATTTAGAATACTTACCTCTTGCCCCCTCTCGTCTAAGCCCACAATATAGCAGGATATGGTACTTGACTTGCTGGATTTGTAGGGAAGAGCTAAAAGAAATCCTCTGCTGGCAGAAAATTTTTATACAGAAAAACTGTATACAATTTTTGACTGACATTAGGAATCATGATGCAGATAGAGATGATTTTTTTTCTTTACATTGCAACATACATAGTTACTTGCTTATGAACTCTGTGTACTTTGAATTAATTTTTTTTTCAATCAGACAAATATTTCTGAACTGAGTTTTCTTTATCATTTAGCATGACTTAGGAAAATCTCTTACGAAATATTTAAAGAATAGAGCATCTACTTAAATAAATACAGAATATGTGGTTTATTAGTCTTCTTCATTCTAAGCCTATAATCAATTATGACCAAATGGTTTTAAATGAGATCTTCTATATAACTCTGCTTTATAAAAAGTTAATGAAATACAGTCTGCATTTTACCATCATTCTGAAAATCCATTAGTCAGGTTTTGTATTGCTGGCTTTTAGCATTTGGTTATTTTTCACCAGTATTTCAGAAAATACTTTACAGATCTGACCTAGAGCGTCAAGGGTCCATAAGCTGATTTAACTCCTTATGCAGTCATGGCTGTGCTAGTTCCCTTGAAAGGATTCAACAATCCTGAGAAACTTCCAAGAGAACTTTGTGTGTCTACGTAGAGTTTTTTGATTTTCTGCTGAATATGAACTGCCTTCTTTGTGAATTGATCTGTGCTGTGTCTGTTAATTCTTTGTTTCATTCATTTTGTAGTGCACAGTAGCCAGTCAAGGAGTCAGTCCCTGTTCTACACTAACAAGCAGCACTACGTCGCCTAGCACCGATAGTCCCTGCTCAACTCTGAATAGCTGTGCTGACAAAACAGCAGCCAGCAAAAGTAGTCCCTGTGGGACCATTAGCAGCCCAAGCTCCACATTGGAAAGCAAGGACAGTGGAATTATAGGTAAGCGGTTTAATTCCTACTAATGCAGTCACTTCTGGCCATCTCTTCTGTAGCTTGATTTTTTGTGTCTGCGAAGGATATGTGCTAGAAAGAATATGGAGCTGGAGCTAAAGCTCTCTTATCTTCATTCCTGATAGTGCTTGGCTCCAGTTTCTTTAAAAAATGTAAAGTGATATTTTATTCGATGCCATGTCATTCTCTGGGATTCTTTTGAATATTTTTTCTATGAATTTAGTTATGCTTAAACCCTTATTGGACTAGGAAGGAACTGAAAATATGACTTCATTTATTACAGCACTGTGATTTTCAGAGGCTATATGTTGGATGGGGAAGATTATAATTTTGCTTCAGAAACAAATAATCATGTTGCTGTAATGTAGTAGTTAACAGCATGAGTTTTGAATCTCAAAGACCCTTGTTCAGATTTCAGTACAAGCATGATCTTGTTGGGTATCTTCAAATTTGACATTATCCCTGAATCTCATCTGGAATGCAAGAACAATACTGACCAATCTTGTGATACTGTTTTAAAGAAGTTTCCCTCAGCCTCATTCCTTCCCGATGTGTTAACAAACAATTTTTACTACCCCCACCACCATATGTGAAGCAAGTTGAACGGTTAGGTTAAACACTAGGTATGTTTTTGATATAATGCCATTTCTGATTTTGGGCCTTAACAAGCAAAGCAAGAAGGGTTTTATGGAAAGATTCTCATTCTATCACTATAGATATATTGTCAGGCCTACTAGATAGATCAGACCAGGAAATCAACTCCACAGGAAGGCTAAAGCTACTTTTATTGAGATTGGCTATAATAACAGAATCTTGCAAGCCTGATTGTGCTATACTTCCTCCTCATACTCCAGTGCATTAGGGAAGTGTCTGCCTGAGCTGTTTACAATGTTATCTCATTGTTCTGGATTTAAAAAGTTTTAGCCCCTTTGCCTAGGTAATGGTTCCTGCATATTTCTCTCAAGGTCATCTTCCTTACTCTCTCTCTATATTCACAAAAACTGTTACTGTAGCATAGGGCAGAGGATTTGCTGTATCTGAGTGTGTGGGGATGGTGGGATGAATGGTTCAGTAGTGTCACCTAGGTCTACCCAAGGCTTATGCCCCAAATCTTGGAGATCTACTCCAATCCTTGTATAGTTGTTACTAACCTAAAGGGACCAATGGTGTGCCTCTTTAATAGAAGTCTAAAATATGAAATAATTGTGCATATATTACAGCTATGAATGACCTAGTGCTCTGTTGCTCAGCAAAAGGCTCATCCATAGTGTTGACTGTGTTAATTGGAAGATACCCTGCCAGGCTTAACTGCCTGGAAAATTGATTATCTTATACTGGAAAAACAACACTGGTATGTATGAAATTTGAAGCCACTCTGAAATAAACATGCAAGCTGGATATCTAAGGTTTCTTACAATTTTTGTGAAGCTATATAGTGTCCTGGGAAGTGGCAGTAAACAAAGCATTTAGCTATTTCACTTTTAAGTAACTATGGCAAGGTCAAGCTTGGGGATTAGGATGCTAGTTAAGACAAACTGGTAAAATGCTGCTTGTCTTCCAAGAAATAAGACGATGTTGATTATTTTTATCATGTGGAAGCAGAGGAATCTTTGTACTGAGGAGTGGTTTGCATGCTTAGTTCAAAATTGGGAATGAAAAGGGAGTACAAAGTAAGCCCTAAAGATCTGAGCAAAAAATGAAAGCTTTAGGAAATCCAGAAGAAAGCCAAGGAAAAATAGCTGGGATAATAAGGATCCTGAAAGTGTATTTGTCTGAATGTACATAAATACATATCTTTTATTCTTAATGGTATTACAAAAATGTATAAGATGCAGCATTCCTTCACACACATTTCCCAGCAAATATTGAAAGACAGTAGTGGTTTTTGAAAGAGAAAATGTAAAATGGAATGAAAATGATGGACCTCACTAAGCTTCTTCTGTTTGCATTTATCTATTTAGTTTGTTTCCCATCTTTTCATTCATAGAATTCTCAAAGCACCTCATAGCATTAAAAAATACAGAAATAATAATGAAATGTTCCATGAGTTCCTTATAGATCTACTTATTCTGCATCTATAAGGGAAGGGAAGCAGACTCCATTTTCCATGTGCAAATGTATTATTAGCATTAATGTTCATTCAGTACACAGTTTAATAAGTATGTCTTTTGTAAGGTTTTTTTGGGGAGGCAAGCTTTGCTCAACCATGAAAATAGTTGTTCTTCTATGCCACTTAAGTAGGCTTCCATTGTATTTCCATTCCTGCTATGTTATTCTGGGCCAGTAGATCCTTTGAGTGGAAGACTACCTTCCCCTCCCTCTCCCACACTTTTTACTGGCTCAGATAGCTTTCCTTCTCTTTTTAGTGTTTTATCGCCTTAGTTGAAATTGTCTCTGCCTCCACTGACATAAAAAAAGTAAAGGCAGAATTTCGTCTTTTCCAGTGAGCTAAATAAGAGAAAAGTCTGGGCTGGTGGCCAAAAGGAGGGAGAAAATTTGGCAAGATGCCTTCTTTTCAGTGTTACGGACTTGAGTGGAAAACCTCCTCGTTCAATTAGAAAATCAGAAGGGAGTTTTGCTTCATAGTATATCAAAAGGCCAAGTTTTTCTTTAATCAAAACGTTTAATAATTCTGTCATATAGAAGCACAACATAAGGCTTTCTTCATATTCTTACATATTTTATAGTGCTTGAGTTGTTAGTCATCCCAATAAAATGATAATACTTTTCATGGCATATTTTCTTGAATCTTAAGAGGCTTATGTAGTCAAAACTAAAAACATGTATAGTGACTATCCTATATTTTCCCAAGGATTATAATTTAATGTGACATGGAAGAACTTGTAGACTTGCCAGATCGGTCACATAACTATCATTCCTTCTTATGTCAATTCAAAGTTTCCCATGATTGTGTGGGTGTAACTAAAACTGCACTACTCTTACACAAGAGTATATTTTTATGGATTTTTGTTTGTTGGGTTTTTAGGGACAGTAACAAGTTCATCTGAAAATGATGACCGGAGTGGATCAAGTTTAGAATGGACTAAAGAAGGAAACCTCAGAACTGGTGTACACCAAGGAATTATTGACAGAAGGGCAGATAATTGTTCACCAGTTGCAGAAGAGGAGACAATTGGGTCTTCAGAAAGTTTGTCAAAAGTAGAAGTATCTTCTGGAGATGGCCCCATTACTTATATTCAAAACTGTGGCTCATTAGGAATGCCTCGACCCAATTCTGTTGCAGGTAAGGAAGAGTTGAAGAGTGAATGTTGATTGTCTTCCAGATATTGCTTTATTTAAGTAAAAACATTTTCCTTTAATGCTATTCTTGTATTAGCATAAGCCAGTTCTCATAAATTTAAATCTGTTCTTTAGCTAATGGGCAGACAGATACAGAGTTCAACAATAAGAATTTTTAAAAGTACAACATAAATCACAAATAATCTTTTTATGGAATATTCTGATTTTTGTAATAGTTCTTGCAAAAACCACCTGTACAACTTTATAGGATTCTAGTCAAGGAACGGAGGTTCATATCCCCTCTAGGTGAGAAGAGAAATTTGTCATATATGAAAATACTTTAAAGGGTGGTTAAGAACGTTCCTGCTGAATTCTCTTCTATTTGTTTCTGTGAGTTTTAAATCAGGAGGATTCTGCCTATCTTTATTTTTGCATGAAATGAATTTCTTGTGAAGACTAAATAACTCAAATTTCCCACCCCTGTATTTATGGCTCATGTAGTTCATTCTTGTTTAAAAATATAGCAGTCATAGGATGGATGGACGTGATTGTTGCCTTAGTGAGAACAACTAGTCCATGCTGCTAGAAGTATATTAAGCAAGCTGGTAAGAACTGGTCATCCAATGACATGTCTTGCTTTTCTGATTAGTTTGCTATGAAGTATCAATCCACTGGATTGAACTTGCTCCAATAAGCCAAAACCAGAGGATGACCCAGCTGTGCATAATACAGCATCTGTACCAGTGTTTTTATTGCAAATAATTTGAGAGCAGCAGGAATAAAACCATCACCTTCTCTTTGGAAGAACTGAAGATGGAATATGTACTGATTTGAGCACTTTGGGCTGAATAGGAGGCATGAGACATCCTACTCATGGATGTATGAAAAATGGCTCCCAAATTACATGATCAGTTGAGTGCCTATGCCTAGCATGACTTTTAGGTTTCTTAGCCAAGCTCATAATTTTGGCCTTTTGATAGTTAATTCCCAATGTATTCTCCTTGCAGAATTGCATAAAGTGCTATTCTGAGACTCTGTATAGAGTCCTGGATAATATTACCCCACTATCTGTAATAGAGTGGAAACAAATTTCTCTCTCAACTTAAGAATATGAAAGTCCAAATTTGGTAGGAAATATATCAAGTCATTTAGATAAAAGTCACAGTAATGGGGTTACAATTAATCCCTGTTTAGATCCCTGCCTTGCTGATAACCAGGATATTAAATGATGCTGGTACTCACATACAGGTAGTCCTTGCTTACTGACCACTCATTAGATGACTGTTTGAAGTTATGACAGTGCTGAAAAAATAACTTTACAGCCAATTTATGACCATTTACGACCTTTGCAGCATCCCTCAGTCATGTGATTGCATTACAGTCAGTATGTGTTGTCCTGTGCCTGACCTGTGGTCCCCCCCTCTTGCAGAGCAAAGAAATTGGGAGAAGAAGGGATTGCAAGAGAGTAAGCTATTTGCTCTTCTACACATCAAAAGCAATGCAGTCGTGTTGGCAGCCCAGGGCTGGGAGCCCTGTAGTGTAGAGATCCCCTGTAGGGATTGCAAGAGAGTACTCAGGCAGAGGAGAGATTGCCTACAGAAATTGCTTGCTTCCCCACCCTTCTAGGGTGTACAGAGTGGAGAGAAAGAGATTTCAAGAGAGTAAGTTGTTTGCTCTTCTACACATTGAGAGCAATGTGATCGCTTGCAATTGCTCTGGCAGCCTGGGGCTGAGAGCTGTGGGCACACTACACAAACAGCTTATCTCTTTCTCTCCAATCTCTCTGCTCTGGGGTGGGGGCAAGGGTCAGGCAAAGGAGAGATTGCCTACAGAAATCGCTTGCTTTTTTTCTCCCTCCCTCACAGAGCAGAGTGATTGGAGAAGAAGGAATTTCAAGAGAATAAACTGTTTGCGTAGGAGTGCGATTTCGTTGCTTTCAGTGTGTGGAAGAACAAACAGTTTACTCTCTTGCAATCCCTTCCTCTCCAATCTCTGCTCTGTAAGGGGGGGAAAGGGTCAGGCAAAGAAGAGATTGGCTACAGAAATCACTTGATCCCCCCCCCCCCCCCCCCCAATAAAGGAAAGATAGGGGGGGGGGAAGGTTTGCAAAGAGAGTAAACTGTTTGTTCTTCCACACACTGAAAGCAACGAAATCGCACTCCTACGCAAACAGTTTATTCTCTTGAAATTCTTTTTTCTCCAATCCCTTTGCTCTGTGAGGGAGGGAGAAAAAAAGCAAGCGATTTCTGTAGGCA